TAGTTGTCTACCATGCACCCCCGGCATTTGAGTTGAGTGACTCCCTCTCATTTCCACCAAGCCGCGCGTCGCTGGCCATCGGATTGTTCCTCTTGCCTGGCTTTGGGTGACCCGTTGGCTGGAGTTAAAGCGCCTAAGCGCCCTTGTGTTGCTGGCTGAAAGGTAACAGGAAGGAAAGCCCAAAAGGCGAAAGGCTACCAAGCAGTTTGGTGTCCGGCAATGCAAGTCTGTGACTTGAATGCGCGGTCCCAACTGGAGGGTCTCACAAACTCCGTGATGATCCCAGGCGAAAAAGGGGGGGCGGGGGAGCCGGACTCTTAAGATATGCAGAGTTCCTTAAAAGATATGTCCAAACCATCATCTGATTCACTTTTGCCTTTTTCCCGATCAACTCGCAAATGTTATCATATTCAAAATGTCCATCAGTGTATCCCTTAAGGGCACGTTCGCCGTTCTGTGTGAACGCGGTAAATCAGGCTAACCCAAATTGGTGGTTTGCATTGGTGGTTTGGGGATTTAGGCCCTGGTTCTTGTGGGTACATGGGAAAATGGGAAGCCATTTCCCAACCTCCAAACCACCAATTGGAGGGAAGCTGAGTAAAGTGCGACAAGCACGTGTCCTTTGGGTAAAAAAGATGGGTTTCCCTGGTCAATGGGGCATGCACCAATCTAAACCAGCGGAACCCATCTATGAACCAAACTACCCGATCAAAAGGACAAAGGTGAACATGATTTGAGTTGGGCCCAGTTGCAGGATGCATATGTTATGGTGTTCTTCATGAGTCACCTGTAAAACGTAAAATGTATCAGTCTACCCTCGCACCAAAAAAATGCGTGGAACCTGACAGCGCGTTTCTGTTTAATTACGTGGAACATCGTGGAACATCGTTGAACATGGCCCAAACCAGAACCCCCCGAGAGCGTCCGGTTCCCGATCTCTTCCCGCCTTCGGGCTTCTTCACCGAGAGATCCACGGACCTGAGCTGGAGCGCTCTCCGGCTCGGTCCGGGCTCAAAGTGGGAAACCCCCCTGGATGGGTTCCATGTGCGGTTTCGCACCCTGGAAAAAATGGAGAAAATATGTCCAGGTCCAGTGATCGATTCCCTTTAAAACCAACAAGGGCAAATTGAGAACAACAAACATGTTCTCAGGCAAATGGATGGGATTGACAGGATTAAGAAAGGATGCTGAGGGAAACCAAAACACAACTCAAAAACCGAAAGGAAATCAGAAAGAAGACCTGCAGCAAAGAGCAACCGACAAATAGCCAACAGCACGCCAAAAGGAAACGAACACAAGGCCACCAAAGGAAAGCACAATTCAACAGAAGAACACAATGTTGCACGTAATTAAAAAACAGAGGGGAAAAACAACGAAAAGCAAAACAACTGCAAAAACAACTGCAACGACAGGAAGGACACCAAAACGAAACTGCACAGAAACCAAAGGCAACCAAAATGGAAACCACTCGAAGCCAAAAGAACACCGAAAGGAAACCAGCCACAAGGAAACTCAAACTCATTTCAGAAGAAAACCCGAAGGGACACTTTTCAGAAACCAAAAGGAAATCCAGAAATGGCGAAAAGGTCACACTTGACCGCCCCACTTTGCTTGTCAAAGGGGTTGCACCCCTCCTGACTGCGGGTTGTGAGGTTTACAATCCTTGGGGATAATAAAGCCAAATCAAAAAAAAACCTGCCCACCCACCCACCCACCCACCCACCCACCCACCCACCCACCCACCCACCCACCCACCCACCCACCCACCCACCCACCCACCCACCCACCACCCCCACCCACCCACCCACCCACCCACCCACCCACCCACCCACCCACCCACCCACCCACCCACCCACCCACCCACCCACCCACCCACCCACCCACCCACCCACCCACTCCTCCCCCTTCCCAAGAAACAACGAGAACCCCCCCCCCACTCCAGCCAAAACAAACAATTCTAGGGCTTGATTCCATTCATTCTGTTCAACCATCCTTTTCCAAAACAGACCGCTGTCTCTCATTGGATTTCATTTTAGGTTTCCTTAAAAGACGGGGATGCCCGGTCTACCTGCCGAGCCGCTCCATGCTCTGCGTGTTCATTCCTCGACAAATCGATGGCTCCATTTGGAAGCTGAAAGGGAGGGGGACGAAACGAAAACCTCGTCTTGGCCCTCTTCCCCCTTTAGCTAACCTGGCCGGAACCTTCTTAAACGCGTTTCCCAATGGTAAGGCCCCCACCGCCCAAAAACGAGATTGCTTACACAATGGATGGACTTTTGCATCTCAAACTGCAGGGGAGCATAATAAGTGGCAGGTATGGTGAGAGCTGACAGAAAGGGGACTTACAACCGCACAATATGTCATGTGCTTAAAACTTTCGTCCAGTAAATCAGGTTCTAACTTATAGTCTGGCCTATCTGACATTCCAAGAGATGAACTTGGACCCTTTGCCCAAACAGGGGGTCTAAAATGCAACCCGTGAAAACGAGGTTGGTCTTTGAGACCCATGACTCTGTATGGGCAAAAAGAGGGACAACCACAACGTTTCATAAGGTGGGCAATCGGCAAGGGAACCAACATAAGGAAGTTTGACAAACTGGCAACATGCTGGATTCTGCGACACACTCCATGCTTTCAGGGTCACTCAAAGGGTTGACAGAATGGGATTCGACCACAACTTCAACAGGGTCTCACTGCTTTTTTTAGCCCAAAAGTCAAACCATCGCCCATCAAGTTCAGACTGCATGGGCCCTCAACCTTTTTCTGGGTCCAAAAGACCCGCCCCTGCCGCGATAGACGGCATTGACACCGATTTGCGTCCCTGGGGTTCAACCAACTTCAGGCAACCTCCCACGTGTTCAAACACGAAACATGGAACTCAGGTTCCGCCTGGAAGAGATGACACTTGTTCAAGCATCTCTTTATTCAAACCAGCTTTGTCCAATGCCTCGCAACCCTCTTCCTGGGTCGAACATCAATGAGACCCTGTTCTCTGGCCCAAATTCATGAATCTTCAAATGCATCTTTGATCAGAACACGGAGGTCGAACAGAAGCCATGTGATGCCAAAGTGAGCCATCCCCATAACCGAAGGCCACTTTGGGCATTCCCTCAAGAAGGGCCCGACGGAAGTGAGTGAACTCTTGCAGGTGACCCTAGACTGAAGTTCTAGTGGACCCCAGCCATACACGGGTACATGTATATATGTACATACGACACATGTGTAGTAAGTACACCATAGATGCTTCAGTCAGCATGGATCCGGTCTTGAAACTATCCAACTAGACTCTTGTCTTAAACTGGTCTAACATGTCCATCTTGGCATCAAAATATTTGTTTAGCGACGCGCAAGCAGGGCTACAAGCAATGCACCGGCTGAAGTAGCACCCCAGCACAAGCAGCAAGGTGAATCCGCAACATGTCAGCGACACCATGGCTTCGAAACAAGCTAATGGAATCTTAGGGTTTATAGAGGTTAATACACCCTGGTGGATTCATAGGTTCCTTGTGGAAGTTCTGCACTTTGGCCAACACCCGCCTCCTCCCAAAGGTAGGACAGGTCTCAGGTCTAATCTGGGTCGACCCAATACTCTGCTGTTAGATGAACCTTCCTTTGAGTCTTTGATCCCGAACCCGCCACTCAAAATGGAATTTGGGTCTGTCTGAAAAGGGCCGTGGGCTTGCTCTTCTGTGGCTTTCCCTGAACAATCCAAAGAACAGGTTCAGGCAGACCCGCTTGGGGGACCTCCCCCCCAACATAGTGGCTTTCCCTTTTCCGTTTTTCATTAAAACCACTGGAACAGGGCATACCCAACTCCAAAAAAGGAAACGAGCCACCCACGGACCCACGAGGCCTCGTGGCCCGGACGAACCCAACACCCGACCACTCTGACCACTCGCCCTCGCCTGGCTCAGGCCTTCCTCCCGGCACTGCCAAGGTCCTCCGTCCCCTCGGCGCCAGCATTCCCGGCACATGCAGAGACACGCTCATGTATCATTTTGGAAGGGAATTAACCCATCTCTCCTCCATTCACTCTTGTTCACGATGTGTTCTCTCGTTTTCTGCTTCAGCAGCGGAGCGCATTCTGTTGGAGGAGGTGGTGGTGGCGGTGCTGGTGGCGGCGGCGGCGGCGGCGGTGGTGGTGGTTGTGGTGGTGGTGGTGATCGCCTTAAGTACCAACCAGGGAACCCACCAAGAACATTTCTTGCACAGGCATTGAATAGTCCTCCACTCCAGTTCGGGGGTTGTTTATGTTAGTAAATCCCCCGTTTCCTCAGTCACCAGCAGGTGTCTTTGAGGGTCTTAACGGCTTCCCTAAGCCACGCCAGCTCTCCCGCCCGGGAAAAAAAACTGGGAAAACACAAGTATGTCTTCCCGTTTAATTGAGCGACACCCAAGAACCCAACTCCGACGGGGGCTACGCGGCTACGCCCAAATGGATCCACTGACAAAATTTGAAAATAGAGCAACAGCGCCGCCAAGTTGCGGCTCAGATTCGTCTTGGCCTGCGGGCAACAGGTGCTGATGAAGCTGTACCGTCGGTAAAGGATCTATGTTGCCCACCCAGGGCAGATGTTCAAATGAGACGTTGCCCTTGTCTCTCCTCGAAGGGCTGAACACGCTCATGCAGGGGTCTCAATTCTTGTTTCACGCCATCGACCCTTGATCCCCATAGATCAAATTTGGTGGCCAACGACACGCAACAACCAAATCAATCAGGGGCTTTTAGCTGTCGGGGAATAAGAAAGCCTCGCCAATGAGAGAACCTAAACCAGTCCCCCAAAAATAATTCGCCAACTCCGCTGGTGAATTCTAGCTCGGGGCTTCAAAATGGGGAGCAAGGGAACCGATGCTGCGAGCATGTCACCAAGTCTCAGGGACAAGCAGTGAGCTGCCTGTGCGCCCAAGCGTGTGCCTTAGGGACCCAAAAGCAGCTTGGTGTTGGTCTGTGGGGAGTCAAAAAGCCTTACATTTCTGGTCCAGAGGCCCCTAAGGAACACTCAGACACCTGGTGCTCCATGTCGCAAGCTCAAAACTGAGGAGAACAACACGTCTTCTGACCGCAAAACCAGTCGGGACTCCAGGTGGAAATTGAGCCTATGGCGGGCGTTTTTCCACTGGCCAACGTTCGCTAGACGGCTCCAGCCTGATTTCTTCAGGATGTCCTCGTCCACCCTCAGCCGGTGAGGAGGTGACCATAGTGACCCAAAATGAGCTGTGGTTCAATCAGGGCAACCGCCAAGAAGCCTGGGCCAAAAGCCTCTTGTTGACACAAGTACCACCAAAACGTGTGATATCTGATCCGCCGGATGTGGTGGCAATGATGCTTCGCTTGTCTTCCGAATTTGCTCGGCGTCCCTGCCCTGACACCGTTCCCTAACCAGCACCTCCTGTTCAAAGCATCCCGGATGCCAATGCACATGTCTACAGGTGTGTGTGTATATATATATATATATATGTATATGTATATCTCCACACATTGTTGTATATACTACATACTACATACATGTGTATTTATACGTATATGCATATATATATACATATATGTATATGTATATGTATATGTGCATATATATATATGTATACACAAATTTACACAATACATAACATACCCAACTGAATACGTAGATCCCTTCCGCACACCGATATCGTGATTGCGGCCTTTCTGTGGTGGGCTCGTTGGGACGTGCCCCAACAATATATTCGCCCTGCCCTTGGGCCTGGCATGTAAAGGATTTGTTTGACAAGCTCAAGTTAGTCAAAGCTCCTGGGATTTTTGGTTTAACAAATCTGAGCAAGCCTCTTCCATTGCCACTCTCGGGAAGTGTGTTCAAAGACTCTTTGGGTGGGATCCCTCCATGACGGATTTTACAAAAAAACACTCATTTTTTGAAATTCAAACAGTTCCTCAACGTATCACTGCACTTGGCCCCAACCCAGACCCCTAACAGGCCGATTCCAACATCGCTTGAAACAGCAAAACACAACTAGTATCTGCAAAAAAACATGATGTTTTGTTATTTCCCAAAATCAACCATCAAAAGCAACCCCCCTCAAATACCCTTAAAATAGACGATAATGCAGGGGATGTTTCGCAGTAACTGCTCCGTACAGTTGGGGAATTGCCTTTCCCAAATAACTAAGCTGCCTCCAGTGGCTGGGAGGAGAAAACAGCCTTTTGTGTTGGTTGAGCTTCAACAAGTCGCAAAAAGTCAGTTAGGTCTGGCAACGCGGTCAGGACATTGTCTGCAGCCGGCTTAGCCCCGGGCTCTTCCAGCGTGCCGTTCCGCGACCCGTTCCGCGACCCGTTCCGGGACCCGTTCCGGGACCCGGAGCGTGCGCGGGCACGGGCGGGCGCGTCCTGCCTGGCAAAACCCGGCCCGACGTTTGACTTTGTGCGCCCGAGCGGTGGCGGTCAATGGAGGCAACACGACCGGAAGCCCATGACATATCGCAAGGTTCGCCTTGTTCCCAACTTGCAGCATTGTATTGCCCTACCAGCCAAATTCCCCTGCCAGAAGCACAAGAATAAAGTGACGATAGCTTTGCCTGGGTGCAACCAAAAAAACAATCACCCAACAACTGCTCGACATGTTGGCTCTTACAAATGCACCCCACAAATCTCAAAGGTTCAAAGGTCGGCTACCACAATTGAACGCCCCCCGTCGTGCCAAGGCACTGCTCAACCCCGAGCTCTCCATCCATTTCCCGGCCCGGCCTGGGTCGCTCGGAGTCCTCGCTGAAGATGCCTGGCGTAGCGATGAGAATTTGGGGAAGATCCGAGTCGGGAGGATTGGTTGGCTGAGTGCTAGGTTGCTTTTGTGATTGCTTGCCTCGTTGATTGCGTGCCGGAATAGCTGATGGCGTGAAACAAAAAAACAAATGAGTCCAATCCAAAAAAGGCTCTGGGTGTGTGCTTTTGCAGCGTGCCCTTTTCTGAGCCAACCTGGTAGCATGTCTCTGCACCAAGACCCAACGAGCTCTTGGTTCTTATTGCGTCAAAACTCCTTGGGACTCTTGTGAACTGGTATTTGGACATAAAGAAACTCACTATTGCTACAGAGATATCAAAAGAGCCCACATGCTATTCTAAAACCCTTGCTTATCCCAGAGACAAGCCTCAGGAAGGTTGTCCAATATCACTATGGCGGATGGTTGACTTGCCGCTGCAACGTTAGAGTGACATGGCTGAACAAGACAGGAACAACCAACTCACAAAATAAGACTTGCATCAGGGCGTCACTGAATTTGCTGACCCGACTGAGACCCCTTTCGTGCCTCAATTTCTTTCATGTCTCTTGGGTGGCATCGACACTGCTAGTAAGACACCATCTCTTCAAGTTTCTTCCGTGGACATCTGCGCAAATTTCTATAACCCAGGTTTTTTTTAAGGGGCCTTCGTCATGGAATCCCTCGTGTTAGCCATCGCTGTAGCTCCAGCCCAAATGGGCGTCAAGCTCTCAAAACTCACAAGATACCTGGAGCTCGTGAGTTCAATGCCACGCGCCATCACTTTTACACTCCAACCTCAACCTCCTACACTTCGGAACACCGGGATTCCAATTCAACGCTCGCAGCCAGGCTGCAGTATTGAAGTGACTTCCCCAGCTAGCATTTGCAAATCCATCCAGCGTCAAAGAGTTGGCAGCCAAACACGCACATGGCTATCAGACTGCATCCCTCACCAGCTGTGCGTCGCTCCTGAATCAGTGGCCGTCATGTCAGCACTCAACAGAACTATGAACCATCGTAAAATCAAGAAACCCACCATGTCTTCCAAGGTCTGCAGCAGCCATACACAAAACCATGGTGGCACATTACACAAATATGTGTACATGTACAATGTGCATGTGTTGCCCGGGCAAGTGTTCTTTCGCAACATATATGCACTATGTATATGCCAGTATTCCGGGACAAGCCCCTCTGTGCACGGAAAACTCCGACCTTTCTGCTTCCCCTGCCTGGGTTGGACCTTGGGCCGGGAGTGGACCTCTCCTCGTGCCTTCTTGTAAGCTTGGAAATGATTATTTGGGTGTGATTGTTGTTGGGGACCCTTTTGGTAGACGTGTAGGGATACATCCTCATGATGCAATATGAAGGAATACGTGTATATATCTTCTTATATTTGTATATATATATGTGTATAGATGATGTAAATACATATAAAAGGTTCAGAGCCGGCTGGAAACAGTGGGAGTTGACCCAGCGGCACGTTCCCAACGTGAATTCGCGATCCCGGTAATTCAAGAGCTGGATGCAAAGCTGACATCCGGCCTGAGCAACCGACGGCGTGGGATGCAACTGGAATGATTGGAATCCTCATTTTCTTTTCTGGAAAAATACACCCGAAACTGACAAAAAGTGGCTTCCCAATGGGGACCCGTCTAGGACTGGTTGGACCAGTCCTACCAGTCCTGGCACCAGAAAACCGGTCCTGAACCCAGGGCTGATCCAGGACCCAGGTATCTTCACCTGCTCCATTTAAACATGGAAATGCCTCGGATCTGCTTTGACCAGGAAGTATTTCCTTCCTCCGATATGACAACTCATCTCCAGGGCGCCAAGCCGCCCCCAAACACCAATCAACGGACGAGCTCCCATGTTTTTGCGGTAGCCGGATCACCTGCATCATTTGCTTCTAATAGGTGTGTCTTTAGACCTGTTTTTGGATCGAGTTTGGGTGCAGCAGGCTTGGGCTCGGCTTGCCCGGGCGATGCGGGTGATGCAGGTGATGCTGGGTCCACAAAGCATGTTGCAGTTGGGGTGTTGCTCTTGAAACACTGCAAAAACGCAGGGTTTTCGACACTGAACGAAGCAAAAAAACGCAAGGTTTTGACGAGCGCGATCCATGCCGTGTTGTGCAGCAGCCGGGTCAGGGCTCGGACGCATGCCACGCCAGCACAACTTGGCAGAAGTCTGTGTGGCCCAAAGCTTCAACGGGCCTATCCTTGTGCAAAAGCGGCTCGCGTGCCGCATCCCGCGTAAGCCGTTCTCTCCGCACGCGCTCACAGAACCGTCTGCGCGGAAGCGCATCCTGCGGATGAAATCTTGCAGGGTTTGTTTGCAAAGGCGCTGCCTGCTTGACTTCGAACATCTTAAGAATCAAGAGCTGTCGAATATGGAACTCGGCGCTGCCGCGGCCGGTTGCGCGCCAGCAACGTAAATACGGTTTTCATTGGCCTCAAGCACAGGATATTGGGGAAAATGCCACCTGATAGATTTGCAAGAGTTCAAGGACAAACGGAGGCCTGTGGCAGACATGCTACACCTCCTTTTTGGGGCCGCGACTGAGAAATGGGCCAAGAGGTTAAATGGTTAAGTGGTCGGACACCAAGGGTCTGCAAATCTTACAGTTGGGGTACTAGTTGGGGCCGGAATCCATGAGTCCAGTGCAACCTCCCAGCAAGCCAGAGGACATTCATGTGCATGCTCCACGATGCACAAGCTGGTCAGGTCATGCGCTGAAAATGGAGGTTGCTTTTCGAGGGCACGCCAAAGACATCAGCTTGGGTCGGCAAAGCATGCGATTGGAATCCAAGTTGAACCTTTGCGAGAAGTGGCCAAAAAACAACGTGGAAGCCACATGAAGGCCCTTGAGACAGGTTCTTCCGATCTGGGATTTGGGAATGCTTTGGGGGGTAACCAAGAGTGGGAGATCTGTATCGACCAGCTGAATAGTACCTTTGATGTTCAACATGGAGGATCGGCAAGTCCGAATTCCAGAATCCCTACAAAGGGGACCGGGCTGCACCCCAAGGAAAGGATAGCTCGGATTGCCTTGAAGAGCTGAATTCTTGAACCACATCCGGCAGCTTCCCACACCTCAACCTCGTAGATAGGGGGATGTTTCCCCTAAGTGATCCGGATTCCTTCGAACAAATGGGGCATCATCAGAATCAAGCAGAACCTTTAATGGGTTCCCAGCAGCGATAGCCTCAACACCCAATCGCTGGTACAGCAAGGATGTTCTTTCGCTTCGCCGAGCGGCTTGATGCTGCTGACTGGTGCGATGGCCGCATCGCCTCAGATGTTTTTTCGGCATGGGAGCTCTGTGGGCCATGGGGACAAGTGGGCGTGTGTTTTGTACGCTTGGACTCCCCAACATGGTGGTTGTCCTTTCGTTCCTTTAAAATCCTGTATGCCAACCCCAAAAAGGGGGTAACAAAAGACACACCCAAATGGCACCTTGCTTTTGATGGAACACCCCTCCCAGCAGCTGTACCGCTAGCCGCGAAATGGGATGGCCAGATTGAGCAAGTTGTGGAACAGCTTACAAGCTGAGCTGGAGAAGGGGCAGAAAGGAGATGACATCATGATGAAGAGACCAGAGAGCCAAGATCAGCATGCCAAAGACCAAGCAAGACAGTTGAAGGCGGAAGCACAGCAGACTAGCACAGCTGTAGAGGTTGCAAAGGAAGCTATTGAGAAGAGCCGCCAGGTTTTTACTCGGACACAATTGTCAGATTAGAGCTTTGAGGCCGCTCATAGACTATACAAATGAAGCAGGTGCAAGTACAGCAGTTGTTTAGCGGTTCAGGGGTCCATTTTCAGAGGTGGTTCATGATTTTGGAGGCCTTCAAAAATAGGTTAACATTGACACCTCCAACTGGTCGAGCTTGTGGTGTAAACCGTTGCCGATGAACCAGCACGTCTCTACTGGGATCCTGTTCTTGGGGGGACCCCGTTCTGGGTTTCATGTCAGTTTGCGAGGGACTTTTCAACGTACGGGGGATGAATCCCAGTTTAGGAATTCCACTTTCGCGTCAGAACACCTTTGGAGCACCTGCGAAGACTGGTTGAACACCATGAATTCTTCGGATTCGGGCCGCAAAAACAGACCAGATGTTCATGCTTTCACCTCAACAAACGGATGCCACGAATGCAGCCAAAGGCAGAGGGGCAAAAGGCTGCACACATCCATCTCTCAGCATTTAGTTCAACCGGCAAGCGCCTGTTTCAGGTGTGACACTCGGTTTTTCAGCATACCAAGTCCCACGGACCCCGCCAACAACTCCCCGTCCGAGCAACGTCGCCGCGCGTTCGGCTGTTGACGGGAAGCCTTTGCCTCAAAACGGCACGCAGGGCGGCCCCAGCATAGGTGTCCTTTGGGCAGCCCAAGCATAGGTGCCCTTTTCGAAAACCAAAAACCAAATAGGGAACCCCCCAAATGATCCAAATGTTTGTCTTTTGAAGACACACCCATCTGGAAAATACTCACAACCAAACTGACATCAGTGGCAGCCATCTTTGAAACAAACTGACCTGGGGATATCTATGAGCCAAGTCTTCACAGAGCCGGACGTTGCTCTCTTGAAGCATGGCTAGAAGGTTTACAAGCTTACATTTGGGTGACATTCTGGGTTGTAAAGTATATGGGTGCAAGACTGAGAGAGGCTTTAGGACTCCGAGTTGAAAATCCATTAGGATCCTTTCTGGCATGCGACATGCCCAAGATTGGCCTGCCGCCGCTGCACAGTGTGTCGGGACGTGCACTACTCTCAGCCAAATGAAAGGGACCCTCGGAACGATTGAACCCAAAAGTATGCAATGAATGCACTTGTTCTAGAATATGGGATACGAAACTCCTCTCACTTCACCATGAGCTTCACATGTGAAATGCATGTTTGCAACCCTGAGGATCTGCATGGAGAAAAAGTCGCACTCTTCCCGAGTGGATGGCCCAAAAACCAAGTCCGTCCCGCCAACATGGCCTTCACAAATGTCCGATGTCCAACTCAGGAAGTGAGCAAAGGCCCGCCCTCCGCTAACCGGACCTTCCTGCAAGCCCCAGAACCCAGAAGGCCACCCGTCGGTTTGGTTTCGGTTGGTGGACCCAGGGACCCTTCTGCGGAGTGATCCCTATAACCCATCCCCGAGATGGCGTCCGTTCAGGGAATCCCCAAGCGCTTCATTCGTAGCACCCGGCTATGTCATTCCCAACTTCAGCAGCAAGAAATTTGGGAAGCCATGGAAGCCGTGCAAAGCATTGTATCTTCCGGATTTGTTTAATATGTCTTAACTGGAATCTGTCACTGGATGTTTCTTCTGGCAGACTTAAGCAGCTGCAAGGCTCTTCCTCTGTTCTGCGCTTCCAACCCAGTCGATCCCACAGGATTCACCTCAACACCGGCGTCTCAGCCCCGGGCCCGCTGCTGCAGGAAGTTGTGATTCTCCTGGGAATGCGCTAAGCAAAGGAATCCCCGAATTCACACGTATGCATACACTGGTGACATAGAATGTATATATATATATATATATCGGGAGAGAGCGAGAGAGAGAACGAGAGAGAGAGAGAGAGTTATGTGTGTATAGCATACATCACATATCTACATGTGTATGTATATATTTATATATATGTGCACAATAATATAATATCACCCAAATTGAAAGGGAACCATCTCTGATTCAACTGAAGTTTCTGAATCCAAAGTGAACACGTGGGTCGTCCTTTTTGGAAACCGTTTACATTTCATGGGGCCTTTTTCAGGCCAAAATGCGGCTGGTCCTTCTGCTCTTTCTGGAAGAACATGTTGGCTCGTGTCTGTTGACAAAATCGAATTCGCACCAGCCATAGATAGTTGGGATAAACCACACTGGTGCAATATATCTTCTCCATGGCACATGAGTAACCTTGACTTAAATAGCCCGGATCTTGGTCCACCGAACACACGCTTAAACTCTATGCCCTTGGTCTACTTGGTTGCTGCTCACCCTCTGCAAAAAGTTCAGCTTTTGGTGGGTCAAATTCCAACATTCTAGGGTTGAGGGTTTAGGAAATCCCAGTGTTTCAACCAAAAGCTAAAGTCCAAAGATGCGTTCCTAAATAAAGTCTACCATGACCCTAAGCTGTTTACACCTTTTCGACCCCAGAGAAGAGAGAGACTCCGCAAAACCCTTTCACTTCCACACTAAGCCACTTGCAACATGGTGAAGAGAGGCTACCTTTTGGGGTGGTTCTAACAGGAAACCAAAAGGACACCAACCATTTTGGTGCAGGCCCCTGAAAAAGGACACACCCATGTGTGCTATGATCTGTCTATACGTCTATACTGTACGCTTGATCCGATCCATGGCTGTGTTTATTGGCTGTCCAAGAGCGAGGCCTTGCCCAGGTAATATGATTCCCATCTCGAGACGGCCTCTCCAAATGCGCTCCATTTCTCATAGAGGCGTGTCTTGCTTCCCTTTTGCAACATCTGTCGGGAGGTCCCTTGCACCTTGAACAATGGGTCCAATGCGATCCCCTCTGTTTCTGTTGATCTTGATGATTTTTGTCTGGGTGTTTCGCCCAGGGCTCTCTTCAGCCTGCGTGACCCATAGGTTTGTTGGTCTGGCCCGCCTTCCGGTGGCTCAAGTACAGGAGCAACTCTTGGGACGGCTGCACCCTCGGTCAGCTTGGGACAGGATTGGCCGGCCGGTGCTAGAAACGGGGGGGGGGGGTGGGTAGTGGGGCCTTCTCCGACCCCCAAACCTCTTTGTTGGGCCCAACAAGTGAGCTCAAAAAGCAGTTGGAAGCCCTGCACCCCGCGAAAACCTGGGTGGTCATGCGTGAAAAGGTTTGGGCCCCGAAGACTTATGCATGACTTTCCCTTTGACAAAGGCTCCATGCAGCAACACTGCTATCTGGAGGTGTCCTATGTGCCAACTCAATAAAAGCAAGCCTAAATGGGTTGAGCTCGTTTTCAAATAAGGGAAACCGAGGGAAACCGAAACCGAGCACCTGGACAAGTCCATAGCTGGTGGCCACCCAAATGGAGAAGGGCCAAGAGGCCCCCCTATCCACGACTCGAATCCAATTTTTTAAGCGCCCAGCATTCGCCGGGAATCCTGGCGCGTACCACATCCCCCGTGAGTGTTGCCTAAGTGCCCTGTTTCCCTTTGGCAGCCTGGACAAGCCAAAAGGGGGCGTACCTCAGCAGAAGCCTAGGAACTTCACCAGACAGAACCGCCACATTCAAAACAACAGCTACGCAACATACCATGAGCATCAGCTGTGTTGCCCAGACTGTCCAAAGAAATATGGAACCTCTAGTCTCAAGCCTTCACTGCCAACCATGTGTCCAATTGACCCAAAAAAGAACATGCAACTGAGTTTCAACCCTCCGCCAAGGTTCAATGAAATCAGGCTGAATCTGAGAAACCAAAGAACAATGACCACATGAAGGATTCGCACATGCTCGAAAAACTTGCATGGATTGGTGATGGCGACCTAGCAAAGTCGCTTGGGATGGCTCTCCCAAGGGTCCTCCAAAATGGAAGCCCCAAGTGCCGTACGCCGTAAGGTTCTTTCCAATCTCCCGCAACACCAGGGGACTCAAAACCAGGAATGCTTTCGATTGCACAGCCGAATAGAAGCAACAAGATCACTTGCAATAGAAGCGAAACAAGGTGAGAACAAACAAGGTGAGAACAACCAATGCAGAACCATGCGTATCCTGATCAAATGTCAACGGCCACAGCTAATCTGGATGTTTGGCAAGGAGTCTTCCGATGGGACACGTCTGCAAGGAGAGTGTAACATGTAGTGGGTCGAGTGGCCACGCGAGTCATGGTCAAGGAACCTTTGCCTAAAACTCCGTTAGGAGGTTGATGACCATCCCAACCAACCCCAAATACAAGAGTTGGCGGTAAAGGATCTGTCTTTTTTTGACCTTGGCACCTGTGGCCGCTTGGACCCTGGGCCATAGCTCGCACCCGAGCGCCTGATGTAAAACTTCCATGGCTTGCTTGCGCGCGCAAGCGTCTAAGCCATCGCCCGGGCACCCCTTCGGTTCTGACGAGATCAACCGAAATGCCCCTGCCATCACAAGACATACCCTAAGGCCCTAAGGGTGGGACTCTCAATTGGAGCAGGTTCGCCAGGGACCCCAACAGGCCCCTGCTGCTGGCCCAAATTCTAGCGATCGGACCGTCCGGGTAAGACGCCTTGCAGGAAAGCTCGGGTGGACGGACTTGTGCGTTGGATTGCTTCGTGTCCGCCTGAGTCGACTCCCTGTAGCTTAGCGGCCTTGGTGCAAAGCAACCACCAAATTCGACGCTTGAACCGCGGCGCGGCAGTCAGAGACCGGCGATCGGCTCAGGCGATTTGGGTCACGGGCTGGCAACTGCGGCGAAGAGATGGCCCGCTCGCGAAAGTTGGGACCCTGAAAATGGACAGCTCGCACTTCTCGCCCTTACCCGAACCATCTCTTGGTGGATGAAAAAAACCAACGGGGGGGCACTTGAGACTCTGAATCGGACCCCACTCCAAGTCACTGTTGCCCCGTGGGGCACTGAAAGCAGTGAACTGCGCATCCAACACGCCACCACCAAAGTATCTCTGGGGGTCGGAAACGGCTTGGGATGGCAAATAAGTCCACAAGAGTCCCCTGGGCCCTGAGCACACAAAGATTCCACTATAACACTGGCGTACAGTACGTACATATTAAATTGGGGCCGATTGGTTGACATCATCTTCATGGCCCAAAATCTCCCAGCCACCCATGGCGCCGCACAAAGCCATTCACAAACGACCCCAAGTTGCCAAGTGGCGACTCCAGGTCCAAACATCTCTTTGAAGCAGAGGTGAGAACCAGACCTTCCATCTGCTTAAGCCCACTGGAAAAAAATGTTCAATAGTGATAGATGTTCCTTTGAAACCAACAGGGGAACTAACACATATGCATTTCAGCAAATGGACGTGAAGCGACAAAAAAAGGACACGAGGCAAAGCAAAAAAAAACAAACGCCGGCGCTTTCCTCTTCCTTTCCCTCCCGTCTCCTGTCTCCCGTCTCCCGCCTGCAGCGCCACGTCCTTAAAGGCGAAGGTGGGGCCATGGAAGAGCTCCATGACGTAGAGGTCGTTCACCTGGCAGCGGCTTCGTCTTCTTCCGGACTTCGCGCTTGCGCCCGAAATGGCTACCCTTTAAAGCCTTTGGCTTTCATTTGAAAGGATGGCTACCCTTTGGTTTCCCTTTGAAACCACACAAAAGGGGGTTCCCCCTTCAAAAACAGATGCACCCAGGTGTCTCCGTGGCAAACCCCGATGGCTCAACCAGATGACCACCCAGTGGAATTGCGCATGGGGAAACCAGAAGTGGCGTCCAGCTTGTTTTGTTGGTTGACCACCCCTGTCCACCAGTGAAAAACCAACCCTGAAAAGGGACAAAGTCCCCTAGAACTCAGCCTACCTGACTGACCAGGGACACGGGCCAAAAAACCAAATCCGAAAGGAGCCTCCAAATTGAAAGGGGCGAACTGGACCTCCACAGGTTTTGGACCTAAAGCGCAGATGCTTAGGTCAAGTTACCCCATTTCTGGTTTGGCTTGGGGCATCGAACACTTGGTTCCAACAAGGATCAATGGGCTGCTTAACCGCCAATCTAATTCACCTGGGCTGAGCTTGGCAAGCCTGGCCCCACAGAAAGGGGGCTTGCATGGGTTTGGGAGGAAAAGGTTGTAGGCATCTTGCCCCAAACCTCCACCCATGCGTGTCCGTTCTCGGGGCACCGGGATCGGGGCATCGAGTGCACTGTGCAGTGCAGCAAATGAACACATACGGGATCCGCTTAGCCCCCCCAAATCAGTGGCTTCTGTTTGCTTTGTTCAAAACTGCTCTCAACACGCGCCCATATAAAAACCACAAACATGCGGTTCGTGTCGTTTTAAACATCAACGGTCTTTGTTGGGTTGCAGGAAACCGAAAAGGGAGATCACCTGATTGTAGGGGTTCCCCGATGTTGACACAACGCCATATGAGTGGCGGAAAACATGACTTACAGTTGGTTCAATTTAGGCCCCCCGTGTGTGTGAGAGAGAATAGGGGATATTATATTAAGGATCCACATCAGGTGGATGACCATCCCTGTTAACCCCAATGCTCTTTTGACCATGGCACATATGGGTAGTGCTGACCTCATATTGATCAACCCCAGTTTATAGATAGGGGGGGTGTCCCTGGGTTTGTTGGGGGAATCATCACTTTGGGATCGGTAACACCCCCTGAAATTGAATAAACTGGTTGCTTGATTCATAGGGGGTCAACACTACCTCGTTGTTTGGCGGTTGAAAGGAAAACCTTAAAAGGACCACCACAATTTGTTGGGGTTGATTCATCTGGGGTCAACACTACCACTGAGCTGTACCCCCGCGCAACGAATCTTGGGGCCTTGATGCTGGGCACCACCTCCTCATGGTCAAAGGTCTGAGTGCGAGAGGCGACCAAAGGGTCAGGCGGCAGCTCCCGGAAGCTTCGAACGCGGGGTTTTTGAGGGTTAACGTGTTTGGGGTGGAAAGCCCAGGGGCAGGGGGGGGGGGGGGGGGGCGAACTTGAAGTGGGTTTTCGGACTTCACGTCTTTGTTTGGGGTAGAAAGCCCAAAAAAGGGGCAAAACTTGAAGTGAAACCCAAGGAAAAACATGAAAGGTACCCAATGTAAACAGTCTGACATGAGACAAATCCAAATGGACCAAACCAGGAACCCCATGTTGTGTCCCCGACTCATGGGATTTTGGTGGACCTCAATTTGCACCTCACAAAATCCATCGAGTTAGCATGCAAAAACGCTGTAATGGAACCGCCCAGGGCTTTCTAACAGTACCCGGCACGACTCTCGCAACGACGGCCATTGGGTTGCTTGAGAATAACCATGGCGCCTAAACACTTACTCAATGATTTGTGCAGGAAAAAACAACTGGTTCACATACTTTTTACTAAGCACCGAGGGGACCCGCAGAACCTGCCAGCTGGTCCTCATGAATCTTGGAAAGGACCTCAAAATGTTGGAAGACCCGACCACCTCAAGAGGGTGGTGCGGAGAACCCAACCGCTTGCTTAATACAGTGCAAGCGCCAAAACGGAATGCACCCCCTTCGACAACCCTTTATTATACCCAAATTCTCACAATTTCGGGGCATCCGTGACAAACATGGGCACAGGTCAGACTCTAAAGGCCTGTCCGAGTTCGGGTTCCGGACTCCCGAGGAGTTGCGGTCGCTGTTGGGGATGCCACCCGGGTGTTCGGTTCAAAGGCACAGTTGGACAAGGAAAAAAACAAGTCATGTTGCGCCCGCGTTCCCAAGCGCTTAGTCACCAGTCAAAGGCAAACCATGAGACAAATTCACAGCCGAGGTGTCCAAAGGCCCAATATCCCATTGTAAGAGGATGAGTACGACAAAGCGCCAAGGCAACATGACAGGCAGCAAGTGTTGTGCAACGCTCCGAAGCATTGCCACCAAGTGGCTACCTCTCAACTCTCAACCAATCTCAAGCTGGGCTTGCGAAAACGGTAAGCCCGAGCTTCACATCAAGCTGTGACGAGCCAAGCTGCCACACTTTGGACAGCCCTGCCTCACAAATGCCAGCTTTCCCCTGAAAAAAAATGCTTACTAAAAACAAAATCCCCATGGGGAACGACTTGTTCTAGAGTAGATAGGGCACTTCCAACGAAAAAGTTGCGAACAGGAAGCAATATGGGTGTGGCTCAAAATTCACGAGCTAGGGTTACGCGGGTTTAGTCTTTGTTGCCATGTACCAGGGCAACCCATTTTGGGTACCCATTTTTGACCCACAGCCATATGGCCATGGGTCAAAAGCCCGTACCCCACGTGAACATCCCAATCCCACTAAAATAGTCTAAAATGGGTGGTGCACCTTCCCCAAAATGGTACCATTGGTTTTGACCCACGGCCATATGACGTCAGGGAGCTCGTGCCCCAACGTGCGCCTTGTAGCTGCGCTGCATCAGCCGCCGCAGATCCTCGGGCGGCACTTCGTCCCCGCTGCAGAAGAGGGACGCCACCTGCACCGAGGGATGCGATGGCTGAGCAACCCTGGAGGTGAAGAGGGTGGGAAGAGGTAAGAGGTGAGAAGAGGGAACCCAGCGGTTTGGTGCTGGTCCGGCGGTGGTTCACCGTTAAGAGGGTAATAACGGGGTTTCAAGGCGCAAATCTCCAACTCTGTCATCTCAACTTGTGTGTCCAATGCTTGGGGACGCAAAATGTCCGCCCTACTGATCTAATTTTGCCAAAGGTCGGATTAGCCCCTTTGCCATGGTGAGATGACCGACTTTCCCCGGGCGAACACCCAAGCCAATGGCCGCGGAAAAAGAGACTCAAACTCAGAGGGTGAAATCCGCTTTGCCCAGGTAGGTGGTTTCTTCCCTGATAAAGTTTTATCCATCCTTCGAAGTGGACAAGTTGCTTGAGGGCAAGCAGAGCTCAAGAAGCTGTGGAGCAGAGGCACCAGCTTCATTTCCCCCCAGCTTCCAAGGCTGTCTTCCAGCCTGCCTATCAGGCGGGTACCCAACACTGAGGTAGAAAGCTCGATATCTGGCCTCAAAGGCGAGCTCGTGAAACTTCAGCTTGCTCCAACCTGGCGTTCAAGCAAAAGCTTTGGGCACCTTCATGTATTCAGTCTCGCACATGTGCGATCAATTCCCATGCAGGCGGACGTCCAAAATCGCTGCACCCGGGTCCGAGAGACAGCCGCCCTCCAGATTGCGGGGCTTCGTTTATGGGCTTGGCATCAGCCGGTGTCAAAGTCACCCCTTGTGTGGTGAAAGGAAGATGATGCGGGTTTCTGACGTCACATGGCTGTGGCTAAACAAAATGGTCCCAAAAAGCCCCCTTGGTAAATGAAACCAAAGACTAAACCCTGCGCAACCCAAGCTCCTTCATTTTGAGCCACACCCATACGGGCAGAGAGCCGTCCAAGCCTTGGCTCATTTTCTGACAACTGGGGAAGTGACAGCACGATCCGCCGGCCTCCGTTTGCCTCACGGCCCTTGTCAGAAACCCAAACCCTACGAGCTGTGCCTTTGTAGACCGCTGAAACGTCCGGCACCTTCTCCGGGACCTCAGCTGAACCCGACCAAGCCTCGTCAAATTCAAGTGGAAACACGCCCATGGGAGGTGCCAACATTCTAGGGGTTGATTCCTTTTCGTTCCTTTCAAAAACCAGCCATTTCCCCGGGTTTTTTGGGGGTTTTCTAGAAAAGAAGGATCCCTGGAAAGAATGGGGAAGTTACCCCTAGAAACATGTTTGATTTCCCCCTTGCGACACCAAAAAGGATGCCCCAGCAGACACACCCCAATGCCAAGTTCACTTGCAAAGTTGAAGCGTTTCCCTCCTGAGTGGCTGCTTGGGCATGTTTTTTTCTCATGGTGTGCAGCGCGTCAAAGAAATCGATGCGGCTGATTGATGCCCCAATTGGCTTCCTTTGAAACCAGGAAGCGCTCCTAATTTGTTCGACACATTCCTAAAGTTCCGATGTCCTCACCCTTGGATAAAACAACAATAAAGAACACCCTCCACAAACGGGCCGGAACATATCCCGGACGAACAGGCGTTGCTGATAGGTCGCAGCTAGGGCAACCAGAAACAAACTGTCGGACTGGCTGAAACCAAACCCTTCCCCGTGATTCTGTCCGATTCTCAAAGGGAGGGTGTCCCTTTAAAGCGTGATTGTCGGAAATCAGCCTTTGTTGATCCCAATGTGGTTGATTCCCATGACCACTATATCACTCTAGAGGGAATTAATTCCCTTGATAATCAATACCAAACCAACAGTTGTGTGTGTGTGTTTCCCTTTGAACCACTAATAAACTCACTTCCTGAGTGGGCTAGCCAACAAAGGTTCAAACTTTCTGGACTTGCCACCAAGATGGTCCAGCGCCAAAAAGTGATAGTCCAGGAACTCGGCAAGAGTCAAAGGAAGACCGCGTCCAGCACTCCGGGCCACCGCACCATTAGGCCCCCGTCCGGCGCCAGTCCTGAAGCGGGTAGTTTTTGCGGTTTTGGGCGAACACGAAGTAGCCCAGGGAATCAAAGAGGTACACGTGGTTCACGAAGTACCAAAAGAACCCAGTCCCAAAGCACAATGTAGAAGGTGCCGGTGACCAGATTGTGGGAGTGACAGTTAATGAAGATCAAGTTTGGGGAGGTTGGGAAATAAGTTGAAGAAGGGAAGTTTGTGTCCAAGCCCAGGACGATCACGCAGAGATGCTCCGCCCACCTCCCAGTGCCTAACCACGGCGACGCCAGGAGCCTTTTCCCGACGGCGAAGCAGTCAGCCGCACTATGGCTGGCGCAACGAGAATCCGTGACCCCCCTGACGGGAGGGCAAAACTTGAGCCAAACGGCCATTCGGCCGTTTTGCCATATGAAGAAACAACACGTGAACAAAACACACCCCCCTCATCCGATATCTGGACGAGAGAAAGGATGTGAGACAGTTGAGTTCACGACGAAAGGGACCAACCAAAAATGCCGGTGTCAACTCAGAGGTGAGCCAAACGGCAGCACCTGGGCCCCAGTTAAAATCCCGCCACCACCCCGAATTAGCGGGGCGACAGGATTATTTGACGAGTGGGCCACATGAGTGAGCAAAGACATCATGGAGGAACCAGACGAAGATTCCTCTCGTGCCGTTCATGCATTGTCATGGGACAACAACATGCGGAGGGGGATCCTATCTGGATCATCGCGCCTCGCTGCACGCCGTGAAGTGGTTGGAGGAGTAAACGAGTTGGGAGGAAAGAAGAGAAGGATGTTCCGAAATTGGTGTGAAAATATCCGGCTATGGCCGGCCCGGCACTTCTAGTGCGGTCACAGCCTCACACAGGATCGCCAGGGGAACCGTCTCCGGCGCGCACGGCAGCGGTGCGGGAGGGACACGAACAACGCCGGATCAGCGGTACAGGGCAATGGAGACCATCACCCCCAGCAGTGCCGCATGGGCGAGAGGAGGACCGGCGCGGTCGCGTTTGTCGGCGACACACGTGCCATCCTCGCCCTTCTAAGGCGGATGCGAATTGCGGTACCTGCCTACCACCCTGAACCAGGTTCTTCCCGGTCTCTGGGCGCGTCGTCTCTTCGGCGTCCACCGCGGTCACCTCGATCACCTCCTTCACCCCGACGGCGATCCTCACCACCGCCCCTACTGTGGTCGCCAGCCGGAGGTCGGCGAGGCGGAGGGGGATCTGATTGGTGACGTCGGTCATCCCTGCGCCGGTCCCGATGGCGATCGCGACGGTCATCACCCGGGTCATCACGTCCGCGGCGCTCATCTCGCCCCGGACCGCGCCTCTCGGAGGTCTCCTCATGACGTGGAGGAGGTCGGCGATCATCGCGTCGGCCTCCGCGTGTATCCCCGCCACGATCATCCCTTTGTCGGGGCGGGCCAGGATCCTCGCGTCCACCTTTGCCGGGTCGATGTTTTCCTCGACCCTTCCCCTCGCCCTTAGGGCCGCGACGATCCTCGCGGGCCCCAAGCGCGGTCCTTGACCGATCGTCATCTCGGCGGGGCCGCGACTCATTTGCCGCACGAGAGGTCCGAGGCACACCCGGGGGAAGATCCCACTCATCGTTGTCGTCATCTCGCGGGTCATAGCCGCCGTGGCCGCCCAAGGAACCGGTGGCATCCCGTGGTGGGGACGCAGGAGTTCCGGGCCGCCCGATCGAACCTCGCCGGTAAAAGGGTCCTTCTGGCTGTAGAAGCCTTTAGTTCTGCCCCTTCTCTCCCCACCTTCCGCACCGCTTCTCGCGGGGACCGGGGATGGACGGGCAGGCTGGGCCATGCTCTTGGAGCTGGGTCGCCCGCTAGGCGGGACCTGGACGCCCCCCTGCCCTTTCTCGGGCGCGGGGACCCGACCACGAGATGTCCTCCTGGCCTTGGGCTGGTCAGACCCACCCTCCAGCTCGGACTCGGTGTCAGGGACGCGAGTGTTGATGGCCAAGTCCTCGTCCTCAAAAGGATCCTCAGCCGTCGTAACGCCTGCCGCAATGGGAGCGGGAGGAGGAGGAGGAGGAGTTGGCACAGCATCGCCAGAATCGACGCCCGCATGCAACACCACGGGAGTCTCCGGTTCTACCGGGACAGGCGGCGCAGGAGGAGCCGGGGGCGGCGGCGGAGGGGGAGGGATCTCCTCCTCGTCATCGCCCATGGGCTCGTCAAGGTCGTCGGACTTCTCGTCCTCTTTGCGCGAGGACCCATCCGATCCCAGCTCATCCCCCGCAGATCCAGCAAAGTCGGGCTCGTCTTCGTCCTTCACGCCGGGGCCTGGTGTAAGGCGAATCCCGGGCCGATAGCGATCGCGGGGTCGGAAGCGGTACTTCCTTGGCGTAGGGTCGGACAGCTCCTGCTTGACATCATCCTGGGTTTGAGGACGGTCGGCCAAGCAGGTGTCGTAGGCAACGGTGGACGTCCGGTAGATCAGATCGTCCATACTGCTGAGGTCGTTGAGGGTGTAGACGTACCCCTTCTTGATGCCTTCTCGTATCGTGTCCATAGCCTGTTTGAGGCGCGCGGCAGGATCGAACCCGGCCTTTCTCCGCATGGCCTGCATTATCCCGCAGTGCTGTGCGAGCAGCGCCACCTGGAATTTGAATCCCTCCCCGGACAAATCGTTGGGAAGTATCGGGGAAAGGTGTCCTGCCCTCAGCCCAATGATATGGGCCTCAACCATGTAGTATGACGTGTAAAAGCCGCACCGGTTGGCGTTGAAGTTCGCGGTGGTTAGGCGTCTGCCCCACTCAGCCGCATACCCCTCATACTCCTCGAAGAAGTCGGAGACGGAGCTCCCGTTGAAGGCAAGACCCCTTACCAAGATCGCCTTTGCTACCCATTCTTCCACGTTGTGGTCGACCGTGTCACGGTACTTTCCGTCAACAACCTCGTCTCGGAGCGAGTCGTGAAGTTTTCGGAAAATGCCATCCACGTCCTCTTTGTCGAGGTACTTAGGAGGCCGCATCCCAGACATCAACAAGGACCGGGCATCGACGGCGGGACTCTGCGAGTAGAGGGCCATTCCGATGGCGTTGGCGTCTGCGTTGTTCCACAGAGCGGGGACGAAGCCCTCGTATTTCGCCAGCCAGGGAGGAACCACCCCGTTGGTGCTCGCTATCGTGCGAGGGCCGCCGTCCGTGTCTCCGGTGGGCAGGACGCCCTCATAGAAGATGGGAAGGTAGCAGGCGGTGCACAGGTGAGCGCCGATCGGGTGAGCCGTCATGCACCTATGACATGGAACGGACACCACCTCGCGGACATGTTCCGCCTTGGTCATCTGGTGATACTTCTCCAGCTCGTCCCGGCACTTCCTCGGGTTATCACTCACGGAGTTGAGGAAGTTGGGCGGATAGCACCAAGGCCTCAGGTAGATGATGGAGCAGTCCTCCTTGAAGTAGACACACCTCCAGTACCCGATCGCGATGTTCTCGCGCGATGCAAAGGTACCCTGGCGAGTAATGTGCATGCCCCCATTTTCCATGGAGAAGAAGCGCGCATCGATAGCCATGACCACATATCGGGGATCGCTCCTTTGGCGTCGACCCGAGGTGTGCAGCTCCGTCACATTGCTGTCGGTGATGCGGTCAACTGTGTCGTTGGGGCACTCTCCGTGATCGCGGAGGGATTGATATTCATCCGGCCGAGAGGGGAGGAGCTCGATCAGAGCTCGCCCACCCCGAATGATCGCCCCACGTTCTACGTAGAGCCGATACATCCGAAGAGGCACCACCTTGTAGAGTGTTTTGGGAACCACCTTGGAGGTGATAGGAAGGCAGACCGGGCTCTCGTAGAGCGTATATTGGTATCGCTCACGAAAAGCCCGGTAATCCGTGTCGGATCCGATCTCAAGCGACCTTACCGCCGCTATGCGGGCGGATCCAGGCAGCAACCGACGCTCCTTGTCACGGATGACGGTGATGATGATTTCGAACATCCCCACTCCGTCTTCGAGGAAGGAGGACAGGAGATACGACGAAAAGGCTTCTTCGGACTCGACACTTGTCCCGAAGTAGTGGCTCAGGAACTTCTTCAGTTGTATCACCGAAGTGACGTTCCCTTGCCCGCTGGCAGACGAGGTCTCCAATTCTGGGTCCTTGACTGCACCCGCGTTTCCAGGCTGCACCGCTGTTCCACGGAGCGCGTCGCGTATTTCCGCGCATGCTCTCCGGTAGTAGTGCGAAGAGGCGCTCGCCCTTCCCTTCACCTTCTGACGGATCTCGTCGGCGAAGTAGTCCAGGAGCTCCTCCGGTGCGGGGACAATGGCCTGGATCATCAGGTCGGGGTCGCTCTTGGTCGGGAGGATAGGTCCCGCTCTGGATCTCACTCCCATTTCCAGGAATCGGGCAATGTCCCCTATCTTGGCGCACAGAGTAGTGATCGTGTTTCCGATCCTGGGGGCGATATCTTCGCCTCTCCTGGCGCCGAGGATGACCACATTTTTCTTGATGGACTCCTCCTTCAGCCTCTCGAGGTTCCTCCGGGTGTCATCAGTGCCCTTCACCGCGCTGAGGCGGAGAACCGCGGGCTCCGGCTTGTCCGGTCGCACGAGCTGGCCGTCGGGAATCTGGTCGAAAATGCGTGAGGCGGATTTCACTGCCGGGACATTCCTGTACTGATCCGGCACGCTGTAAAAGGCGTAGGCGAGAGTGTCACGGGAGGATGTCTCCCAATACGTGTACTCCTCGGAATCACGCGGGTCACCGACGACGCGACTCACGGTCCTCAGCTCGGCCAGAGCACGCTCCGCCTCGAACTGCGATCCGATGGTCGTGGGCAGCATGGCTCTCTCCTCCTCGGTGCAGTCGACGTATATGAACTGACCGGTATGCAGATCCCTGGGAGCGGCGAATGGCCCCGCAGTGTCATGGACGCCCAGCAAAGTGCTCCTTGCCTCGACCTGGCTAGGGAGCGCATCCGCAGGAGGATGGGCGGGCTCGGCAGGGGCGTCAGGGGCTTGAGTGACAGGTGGAACAGGGTCATCCTTCT